AAGAGTTTCCTACAAGAGTGACCCACAAGAGTGTCCTACAAGAGTGTCCTACAAGAGTGTCCCAGAAGAGTGTCCCACAAGAGTGTCCTACAAGAGTGTCATTTGGACATATTAGTTTTTCGAACGTGTTTGCATTCGGGTTCGTGGGTTCCATCTTGTTACTGTAAGTCTGGTTTGCGGCATTGAAACTTGTTGGGGGTGGGTGCTGGGTGCACATCACGTGGAATTGAGTGATGCTTCAGATGCTTCAAGAGCAATTGTTGTTTTGGAACCTGGGGCGGATCCATGAGGGCTGCAATTCATCACTGGAGGGGAGTCCCAACCTTTGACATGACATGGGCAACAGAAGTACAGAAAGTGAATGAAACAGAAGATCCAGCGAGGGCAGAATTTGCCCTGAAGATCTACCTGGGCCAGTCGATCTCGCCATCGGCAGGCGAGTTCCTGTGGCAGGCACGACGAGATCGGTTCCTGATCTGGTGCCCTGGTGCCCTGGCGGCCGCCACCGCCCACCGGCCGCTGGGCGAAACGAGCATGGCAGGCCTTGGTGCTCCGGAAGAGCCAAGTTCATCCAATTTCCAAATACCAGGACCTTCAAAGTGACCCTTTGATATCCCAGGATGAGGTCACTTGACTTAGGTCTGTACAAGGTCACTTAGAGACTCCAAAGATGTCACTTTGAAGGTCCTGGTAGAGGTTTCATGGATGTTCATGGTGTTTTGGCCAAGTGCAAGGGTGCATGAGCTCAGTGCGAAGTGGTGTTTCGGCCAGAGTGCAAGGGTGCAGCTCAGTGTCATGAAGTGTCCCAAAAAGGCCATCGATACAACGTGATGGTGCGGATGTCTAAATGACAATGAGCTCCTGTAGAGCCTGTGGCCAAACAACGGAAGACCAAACTCCGTGTTCACGCCCGCCCAGGGCCAAAGTGCATGCCTTCCATGAAGCTCACGCTGATGGCCTGGGCCTCGCTGGGCCTCGCGGCGACAGACTGTTCGGAGAATGTGGGCGCCAGACTGTTCGGGAGATGTTCACACCGGGGTGTTGCTCATTTTGGCTCCCTTTCCAGTGTGGTTGAGCGGCTGAGCCATTGCTAACCGAACAATGCGCTTGGTCTAGGCGCTACAGACGGAACATTTGAATTATCAAGTTCAATTGGATTTGCTGGAATGTATCCGTTTTAATCGAGCCAACTTTTTGGCCAGCTTGAAGCTTTGGATGGTTTCATCCCCACAGGAACAGGAACGTCCAGTGGTGAATTATATAGCTTTGGGCTATAGTTCTCACTGAGTTTCTCACTGCTAAGTGAGCAGATTTGCCGCAACATGCAGCCCACATGGGGGATGTTCGTGACGTTCGTGTCTCTCCCAGCGCATTGGGACGGAGCAAAACCACGGGGGCAACGGGGACGACCTAGGAACCACTGGGAACCATATCCCATACACTCCATGGGACTGGCATAGATGCCGCCCCATTGACGCCCCTGGCACCACCCCTGGCCTGATCGACAGTCCTATGGCAGTCCCATGGAGCATCTGGGGATGTCAGTTTCAAAGTCGGAAACAGACTCAAGGGAGTGTGAGTTTTTTCCCCTCTCCGTTGCTTAGGACTGTGGAGCTGCACTTTGCATCTCGTCCAGAGCTGCATGCCAATGCCAACCACAGGCGCCCACCGCATGGTACGCCTGACACCGTTGCTGCGAGCTGCGGAGACTCGGCAGAGATCGGGAAGACGGTGGGTGCAGACGTCCTGGCTCTGAAATAGCCACCCATGGGCACAAAGATATATACCTTTTGCATCCTTTTGCGGCAATGAATCAAGTGCAGAAGAGGCCTCTTCCCGGCTGAGGTCCAGGGCTTGGTGCAAGCCATTCGCAAACATAGAAGTGAAGCATGCTGGAAGCATTATTGGAGAGATGTTTGTGACCATTCACATCCATTCCCCCCCTCCTGCTCTGTACACCAAAAACGACCCAGGTGAAGTAACGTTGGAGGATCTTGGCGGGTCGTTTCGGTTCTCGCCGAGACGACCAGGTAGCGCTTCCTCGGGCGGCACCGCTGAGGTCGGACGTCACCGGGCGAGCGCCGCCGGCGGGTGCATCGGCTGGCGCCTGGGATGGCAGATCGCCTCAAGGACCCCAGCAGCACGGAAGGGTGTCCACTAAAAGCCCAGAAGGTCAAGGGGTGTTCATGAACCACCCCGATATAGAATGGCTTTTCTCACATCATCTCACATCTACCATCATCTATCTACACTCTGACTCACTAACATGGAAGTGGATAAAATTGCCCCTTGGAATCGAAGACTACTTTCCTCCACAAACGGTGGGTTTTCCACTTCCATGTTAGTGAGTCGGAGTGTATTTGTCCCACTTCCCAGCAAGGTTGCCCAAACTTGGGTGTCACCGCCATGAGAACGGGGACCAACGCCTGCTCTCCCGGTCCAGGATGCCTTTTGGGATGCTGGATCCGATGGTAGACCATGGGATCCAACCAACGTTTTACAAGGAGACCATGACACGGTGGAGTACCCCCTGCAACCGTTGGACTGGACACCTGGCGTTCCAGCAATCGAGTCCGCTTCACGTCGCTTCGCATCGGTTCACGTCGTCGAGTCGGCAACTCTATATGGATCAATGTGTAGCATGTGGCCGGGCAAAACAGATCCTTTTTCGAAGAAGTTCGATTAGTAGCGGAAGACCAATCAAACCCACACAGTGCGCAAAGTGGAAGCCATAAGATGCCAAAAGCCTCTTTAAGAAACAGCAGAGCTTTATATAAAACACTCTTTAACCTCAAACCATCTCAAAGACCGATCTTGATCTTGCTTCCCCCCCCATCCGTTGACGCGCCGTCGACAGGTCGCCCTGACCATCGATTCGCAGCTCTGACCACGGCCGACCTGGTCATCATACCGTGTCGACCTATAGACCGAGCTCGATGCGAGTTGGATGCGATGGGAGTCTTTGGAAGAAATGACGCTGGCCACGTTTGGAACGACCTTGGGGGCCGTTCTGAGAAGTGAGTCAGAAAAGGGATGAAAACCCCTGTGAATTCCACAATTCCCTTCGGACCTGTCGGGTTTAAGATGGTGCTTTAGACTAATAGATTGTTTGGCTTCCAGGGAAGGCACCAGACCCTTTTCTGAGACTTGACGAAGCACTTGGTTGACTGCACCGAACCGTCGACTGTGCGTGTCGTGCTTTTTCGTTGAGGACCGGCGGTGGTGCCGATCGACCTTCACCTCCGTATGACCTGCACCTCAGTCCAAACGACCCGAGTTGACCGTGAGACACGAATCAGGTGCGGGCGCCATCTGCGGGAGGGGCGAACTCCTGACCTTACCCCGCCTGACCTTATTCAGTGGGTCGTGACGCGCCCTGTTGAACAAGTTCTAAACTTCGTGACGCATGACAGACAGAACCGGTGCTTTGGACTTGGGTTATGTAAGACTTAGGCACTCACTGAACCCACCTCGGGCTCATACCCAGTCAGAAGATAACCTGCAAAACCTGATCGTGGTAATGGTTGGGGAGTGGGATGGATTGGGGAAACCACACTAGACACCGAAAGAGGCTTGACAGACAGAACAGGTGCAGTTTGTTAACCTTTCATCATTTTCCAGGGAATCTGAGGGAGTCAGGTTTTCCAGGGAATGAAGTTGGCTTGGCGTTTCAACATACGCGTTTCATTCATCTCCGAAATCCATGGGCTGGCTACTTACTTTCTTCTTCTCCTCCCAGCGGCGCCGGAGCTCACCCTGCAGGTGTCACACTGGTTCTTCAAACTTTATTGCTTCAGCCTGCTTCAGCTGGAGCTTCGCTTCGCCCCACACCCTGAGCCCCAGTGCTTCGTTTGGCCCGCGGAACGTGGCTCCGCACGGGGTTCCGTGGCTCTCGTTGGATCTAAGACCGAACTTGTCTCGGCAAAAGCGACGACCGCGCCAGACCAACTCGTGGGGTCGGAGCGACTGGGACGAAGGGTTACCAAGGAAGACCGGCCATGCCCAGAATCACAGGAGACCTGACCTGACCATGGAAGAAAAGATGAACGGGGGAAGTTACTGGGGAAGGGACTCAAGTGACTGGAGATATTCGTGGCTTTGTCGGAGGTTCTGTGTCTTTTCTTTTCCAGGTGTCTTGGTGGTCTGGCCCGGCCATAGCCACACCCCAGCGAGAGAGGAGATGCCTATAGCGGAATTGATGCCTAGTCAATCCTGTTCAGCATTATATGCAACATGACTTGTTAATGCTTGATGAAACCGCGCATGAGGATCTTGATTACAGTCTGTTCCACAAAAAAGTGCGGGCAATTTGAAGCTATTGATGTACTGCATGAATATATAAACGACCCACACAACATCAATCAAATCAACTAGACTACAATATTCCAATCGCATCCAAAATTTATTCATAGAACAGAAACCAGTCCACATCTCACCAGCATGTTGGCAGTTCCAAGAATCAGTCACTCACGCATGAAGACAAGGCTGCCGCAGGCATTTGACCTTGGAGCGGCCCAAAAATCAGCTAAATCCAGGAACATCAGAGAGAAGGTCAAGCGGAAATCAACAAATCCATGCGGCTGGACGACAACCACTCTCAGTCGCAGACGACACATTGTTCACGTCGCAGACCTTCGGCCGGAACCGTTTGGCCCATGGGACCGAGCAGTAGTCGTGGAGTGTGGACCCCAGGAGGAGGCAGGAGGCTTGCAGCTGTTAGTGGTGCGTGGCGGGGCAGCTCTCCAAGGGCATCCAAAAGAGTGAAGGGTGTTCTATTACCCCCCAAAAGGGGTATTGAGGTGTGGTTTTGGAGGTTTCCATTCAGTTGAATGCTTCAATGACGTGTGGAAGAAGAAAACATATTGGTCTCACGAGTAGGGCTGATACAGGGGGTGGTCTCCACTCACTAGCCGGCCTTGGAGTGTATTGCTAGCACGTTTAGGATCGTTTGGAGACGCATACATATATAGAGCACCGAAAGCAACTGTTCTTGGGAATTCTGAGAAAAGACTTCTTGCCTTCCCTTCATCTCGAACAACGGAAAGGGAACAGACTTGGGGGGCAACCTTGCTTGGAAACACGTTTGGTGGAGATTTGGTGCAGTTGCCAGCACCACACCAAACCACACTGTGTGTGGGGCTGAGGTGCAGGACGGAGTGACCGAGATGGAGCAAGGTGAAGCAAGGGCCGACGAGGGGAAGTGGGGAAGTGCAGTGATTTGTTGATCCACCACACAAGACCACAAAAGACATCGATGCATGGCTTGCTCTCACTACTTGGCTTCGACATGCTTTGACTATTATAGATGTATCATGACGTATCAATCATTTTCCCCAATCAAGTGGTCCCCCAAATAGAAATGGTTTAATAGAAATGGTTTCCAATGCATTTCTAGTGGGGATCTACTTTTCTATTTATTTGGGGGTCTACTATAGGTTCCAAGCTTAGAAGCTTAGGGGCTACTACTTTCATCGGATGTGTGTATCTCAGCAAGTGATTGCATCTTGAGCCTGTAACCTGCATGTTTTGTGGCCCAATCCTGCATGAAAATTGACGAAAAACACTGAGCTGATCTGTTCGTTTCATGAAGACCTGCATTGGAAGATCTTACGCGGCAGATGGACATTGAACTGACAACACTCCCTGGTACGCACGCTGCATGGAAGTAGAGTTCAACACCTGTTCCTAGAGGATGGCCCTGTCATCCTAGAGGATGGCCATCCACGTCCACGATTCTGGGGAATGTACGTCTAAGGGGTGCCCTGCTGCCGCTTTCCATCCATCCCATTGGCTGATCGCATCACTTGCAGGTGAAGGGCAATTCCGGCAGAGATGGTGATGTGCCGCGAGGATGTGATTCTGGCGCTGGCACCGGACCTTTTAGGCTGCATGATGGTGCGAAAGCTTGGCATCCGCCCAGAACCCTCGTTGCCACGACCTTAGCTTCATCATGCTTCATCCGAACTCAGAAAATCGTGAGTCGATGTTTCACGCAGTCGTTCGCCTTCGACCACGACAGGAAACGGAAAATCGGGAGAAAGGAAGGGCTCTATGCATCTCCATGTTCCATGTGACACCCAACAAGTGACCTAACATAACCCAGACACTCCATGGGGCTGCCATATATGTCTACTTACATTGGGGTGGTTTGGGGGGCCAATGGGGCGGCATATATGGCATACATGGAGTGTTTGGGTAACAAATGTGGGATTTCTCCGCCACGCAAATCTAGCACCCCACTTGCTGGCAAAGGAATTAGACGTTTGCAACCCGCATGTCCATGTGATTTCTGCAGTGGCAGCTGAAACAAATGAAAATATTATTGTGTTATGACATACTCAGTGACATATGCATATTTTAATGACATGCACCAGCATGCACCTATTCATGGCTGACTCTCAATTGGTTTATAATCCTCCGGGTTCCCGCTTCTGAGGATTTGACTGAACTAGATGAGGATGCTGCTTGGCCTCCATTCAGTCATACTTTCTCCCATACCCCTGTCCCTAACAGAAGCAGCCCGCATCGCGCTTTTCACGGTGATGACACCCTTAAAAGATCTTAAAAGAGCTGGTGTTGTTGCGAACTGGGGGAGGAGCAATGGCTCACCTGCTCACCTGCGTGTTTGATGAGGTGTCCGTCATGTAGAGCCATACTTGCAATTCGTTCATCCTCCTTGATCCAACGATTGCCTTCACGATGTCCGCCGTTTACCACGTGCCACGTGCCCGGAGCCCTGATGCAGCACCTGGGCACGCGGCCGAGCCAACGCGCTGTTTTCACGCGCGTTTCGCACGACGTGGTGGTGGAATGGATGGTCATGATGGCTTGTCGTGGGTCATGTTCTGGGTCAATTATGGTCAACTACTTCCACCAAGCATTAAGACTATAGTTGAATCATGTTGAATAGTACAGAATCGGCATGATAACACGCATGTACAACACAAATTGGGGATACGTTTCACCACCTGCCTATTGGACCAACCGTACTGCATGCTTCCACGGCCCTTTTTTCGCATCGACCAGGTAAGCTGGCCACTCCGCGAGGACTCATCGCGCCATGAGTAGCGCTATAGCGATGTGGTGCCTTTGCTGTTGCCAGAGCTGATTCAATCATTCAGGTGTTGAATTGGAAAGAACCAAACGAACACACATCACACACATTCAGAGTGGAAGAGCTGATCCAAGCGTGCACCATAATCCATAATATATCAACATGCTGCTGACTTCAAGACTAGATTGTGACTAGATGTTGCTTTGTGATGCCGCATTTGTTGGGGCAGATGATGGACCTTCCTTGTCAGTCCAACCTCATTTATCCATGTGCTTTTCTCATCCATCACTCACAGCAACACCGAGGTGAAGTTGTCCGGATCAGATCTTCTAAATCCATCAGGCCAGGAATGAGGCAAAGAGACGTGCGGCTTCCCCCTCCAACTGCTATTTCTTCAACAGTTTCAGGAGGCCAGTGGGAAACTCCATCCAGATTTACCAAGCAACATTCGTTGAAGAAGGAGTATTTTGTTGATCCTTTGATCAAAGAAGTTTCTCCAGGGCCATCCGTGTCCACTATATAAGATGGTTGTTAGATGCCCCTGGATGGAGCGAAGAGATGACCAACCGCCTGGTGGTAGTCCTGAGTTGGATTTGACCACCAACCAGCCACCAATGCCGCACGGATGTGCATTGGGGACTCGGCGGGCCAGGCCTCGAAGCGGCATGCCTCATCGTGAAGCTGAGCTTGCTTCTCAATTTGAAGAGGGTGGGCAGTGGGAACATGAGCTGCTGGTGTTGCTGCTTCCTTTCGGCTTTCGGATTTTTCATCAAGCGGCAGTTCAAGCGTTCAATTTGGTCATGAAGCTATTGTGACTACAGTCCGGTTGAGGGCCGGTTTGGCAGCTTTCTGGGTTGGAGGGTTTGGCCTAACTTGGCCGGGTTGAAAGGAACCGCCGAGAAGACAGGTTAACACTGCCAGGTCACCTGGTATGACTTGCCATAAATGTACGTTCGGCACTCTCCAGGCCTCCTCCGCGGTGGTTTGAGACGTGGCAGGACTTGGCAGAGTCGGTCCTGTTCATGGCCCAGGGGTTGGTAACAGGGTGCTGAAGCTGAGATCGATGCGACAGCTGAGGCTTTCCCTTTTGAGCGATGGCTTCCCGCAACGTTGGCGAGGAGGCCGGCATGGGTCATTGCTCGAAGTGGTTCCAAAACCAAAAGACGCCCAACGCTGGGCCTTTTGGTTTCGGCGCATTCTCAAGGTGAGACACCAGGACCAGAACTGGAGCGACTGGAAGGATTTTGGGGTTTACGTCCAGATCTCGAAAGTTGAAGTTCATACCCTGGCCCTTTAAACTTAAACATTAATTTAGACATCCTTAGGTTCAAATGCCCTCCTCTCTCCTCACGCGCAGGCCAAGCAAGATGAGCCCTGTGTGCATCAAGAGGTCGCGGATTTGCTTTCCTCACGTGGTCAAAAATCAGCACCGTTGCAAGTGTTTTTTTCAATCATCCAATCATTTTCAATCATTAAAGGTACTCAGTTTCCCCTTAGCCTGATGCAGAAGGCTTCTTGAGCCTTACTCGGGTGCGTCGATGAAGCTGACGACACATCGCTGGCTCCGGTGTGTTTCCACTAAGCCACTGTTCGGTTCTTTGGAGTAAAGCCGTGCATCAGGAACGCCATTGGCGAACTGTACAGGATAGCTCCGTCCCGTCAGTTTGGGAAGAGAGGTGACAGTGACCCGTGACGGCTTGGCGGAGTCAAAGGACTGTGAAATCACACAACAGCCGATCTTTTTGAGGGCAAAATACCTAAATGTGGCGGCAGCTTGTTCAAGGTTGGCTCAGCCGATCTTGCTGTTTGCGTATCGTGGGTTTAATGGCTGGGTGCCATTAATGTTTGTCGAAGCACTTTCACCGAAAGTTCCTCAAGCTGTATGGTTGCTGACGGCCATGCTTTAGAACCAGCAGTTACATCTAGAGCCTGCCATTCAACGA